CTTCTGAAAGTAATTTACTATGTGTGTGTGTATACAAAGACACAATTTACTATGTGTGTGTGCATACAAAGACACAATTTACTGTATATGTACACACATATATGCAATATATACATATAGGAATGTCAAAGTAGCCTTCAGTTTTAATGTTTGGTGAGCTTCTATATCTTTTCCTCAAAAACTAACACTCTTTGAAAACAAAATAGTTTCACCTTATCTAAAATTTGAGAAACTCTAACCATGTAATCTTAGTTGCAAGTTAAAAAAACCTATCACATTATCAATTTGTATTGTCTCCCTACACGTTTAATTACTGATAGTATTTAACAAGATCCACTCTAATGCGTATATACTTCCATTATTCATATTTATCCTTGACTAATCACCTAAGATTATTTTATTCATCCAAACATTTTGGAAGCTGATGGTTGGCAAATATAACCTTAAATGCAGCATGCTTTAAAAATAATTATATATAGCTAAAATAATTTCTTAAATGTATTTGATTTCAAATTAGAAACCTCATTTCCCAAGAATTTTCCTTAGATTTAATGATTGTTTAAATTGAAATTAGAATAGTTTCTTTTGATCAGCCTTTTCTGTATGATATTAAAATTACTACTAAGTAATTTATAGCATCAGGCCATGGGTCCACTTAAAACTTTTGGAAGCATGAAAAAGTATGGTTATATGGGAATTGAGAGTATTAACAGTAATTGAAATCTAAACCATAATATACTTGTTCAAATAAGCATACTCTTCATTAAATCACTTCAAAATGGATAGGAAAATAATTTTAAAAGAAGTAATTACCATCTGAAGAATAATGAATACAGGGATATAGAAAATTGAAACTGGATCTCACTTATAAAAATCTGTTTCTGGACATCTATATCTTCTACTCCCTACATGCCTAATCTCAGACACATGTCAACTATAGGAATATAATTAGATATTTTAAGAGAAAGCAACTGCCTAAAAAGATAAAAGAAAATTATTTTTGCCTGGAATTTTTCTGTAATGAAACACGACCAAATTATCTCCACATATGTAAATCCTCAACTCTTAGTTGTTTGACGTTCTAAAGAGTATGAATTATGAACCACATTATAAAAATGTTGACATGTAATTATTTTTAATTAATGATTATACATATTTTTATGTCCATGTGTTCATGGTTTTCTTTCATTTTGTTTTACTTAGTTGCATTTTCAGTGAAATAACTCCAACAAATGATCCAGGTTCTTCTTTTAGTGCATATTTTATTTTATTGATGTAAAAGCCACGCAGATTCAGCACCTCAATGTTTTCTTTTAACTGTATTAGCACATTTAAATGTGCACATTTAAATAGAATTGATTTTTTCATTAAATATCCTCATTATTCAAACCCTCTGTTATTATTATCACTTAATATATTCATAGTTGCAGCATTTTAAATACAGATTCATGAAAGCATTTTGAAAGAATATGAAAAATTACTTAGCTCTGAAACATGATCCAAGAAAAATTTGCAGAAGGTTCTGAGACTTATTTATTTTTATTCAAACACAGAGGAGGAAAAATTAGATGTAATTAAGCCTCACTACTATTGTACAAAATAAGTTATGATAGGGACTAATGTTGGTAATGAACTTCCTGTACCTGAATTCATAAGGGATATTATCAAAGGTAGATGATTCAAATTGAAGCTCTAGGATCTTAAGGGATAAAGATATTTCCTGTTAATTAGTGTTATTAACTATCAGAATGTGTCCCTTAGAGATCTATTGGAATTTCCAATTTTAAAAGTAGGCTCAAAATCTAAGAAATTATAGAAAATTACTGGTAGTAAACTGGAGATAGAGAGATTCTCTCTTCATATGAAGAATAACCAGCATGACATTTAAATTCAGTTCTGAAAATATTCTCATTATAATTCCGAATAATTGAAGAATTACCACACTGATGTTTTATTAATTTGATAGGCCACAAATCAGATATATTTGTTATAACTTTCAGAAATTGAACATTATAATAATAAATGCTTTCAGATAATATGCCTTTCCATCTATTAGAACTGATTGAAAAAGCAAAGCACTTGGATAAAAAAAGAAATATACCAATATATACCTATATATATATACCTATATATACCTACCCTATATAACAACTCCTACAAAAAATACAAGTTATTCAGAAAAATTTTAACCATAAGTGTAATCCCACTGTATTATTACAATTACAAAAATATATTGAACATTATGAAAGAAATCTTATACAAAGGCATACTATGATCTTCTCTAGTATGAATAAATAAATGTTTAAACTTTCTAGAATAATTATGAGTTTAAGCAAGATTTCAAAAGGAAAATATTTTTCCTTTTTGCAAGAGTAACTTGGAGCATCAAGTGAATAAAATAGAGATGACTGGCCAAGTCATTTTAAAAAATAGACTGAATGGTACATATTTTGTTAGATATTAGAAAGGTAACACAGATATATGATCACAGTTTCATAATTTAGTCAGTGTATACATTTTTAGTGAGTAGTCTACTGCAACATTTCTTGATTTGTTTTCAACCTTTTGCCAGTCTGTAAGAAATTTCCAATAGCCACAAAATCAATGAAATTTCAACTAAAACCAAATTGTAACCTGACCTGAAAATAATAGAACATTGTAGTTGAAGTAAAACAGAGATGACTGCTTTTTCTCCAAAGATGTTATGCTTACTCTGTAAATGTTAGAGTTCCAACAAAAATAATTTGTAAAATTTACTGCATTGTCTGACTTTTTGTTTTGCCAGCCTCTTCATTCTGTTTCCTTAGTTTTTCTATAGGTAACTATTTTTATTATTTTAAATTTAGCTACACAGTGATTATTTTAGATGTGCAATCAAATATGTATACATATATGCATTTATTAATCTTTACAAGATATTTGTATACTGTTTTTCATCTTGCTTTCTTTAATCCTAAATTATACCTTATAGAGCACTATGGGGAAGCTTATAGAGTGTTCATCCCACTATGCAGCTGTGTGATATTCTATTGTGTGTATATATATATATATATATATATATATGTACATATATATATCCACTACAGCACCTAATCAGCATGAAACAATCCCAAATTAATAATTATTTATTTTCAATCATATGTTACTATAAATAATACCACAATAATAACTTTTGGCATTAGAAATGTTATAATTTTTGCTGGTATATTTTTGAGATAGACTCTATATTGTAAAGGGTCTATTGTATCAAAAGGCAATAATTACAGAGAATTTTTTCTTGGTATTGCTAAATTCTTCAGTTTTGTATTCCTATAAGCAATGAATAAATATTTCTGTTTCTCTGTAACACAGTTTGTGGTCAAATTTATAATTTTTTCCAAGCAAACAGCTGAGAGGAATAATTTTAATGTTTCTTTTTAATCATTGCGAATAAAATTGAACATCTCTCTTTATATGTTTAAGAGCTATTTTCATTTCTTCTCTATGAATCATCTCTTCACATATCTTACTCAGTTTTAAAATGTTTCATTGTTGGTTTTGTCTGCCTCAATTTTTAAGATCCTCTTGTATATTAGAATAATTAGCCTTTTGCATGTTATAGCTCAAATATTTCTCAGTATGTTACTTTTGGTGTTCTTAGAAATGTAAATTTTAATATAAAATATATTAATCATTAGAGTCACGATTAAGTTTTCTCCATCATATGGTTATAAAGTAATTTCTTCATATCTTCTTGAAGTACATAATGGTTCTAGCTTTTACATCTCTGATTCACCTGTAGTTTATGGTGTGATGTGCTCTCGTATATCAACCCAATTTTACCTCTTTCTAAATGGCTAATCAACAAGTCCTTATTTCCTCATATTTTTGGGTTGTCTTAGTCTTCATATACTATATTTTCTTTGGTACCGGGGATCGAACTCGGGTCCTTGCGCTTGCGCAGCAGGCGGCGAAACCACTGAGCTAAATCCCCGGCCCATATATTATATTTTCATATGGATTTGGATCTATATTTGAACTTTGGAGCCTGCTACATTGGTTAATATATATGAATAATAGAAAATTTTAATGTTAGAGCTTTAATAATATGCCATATATCTGCAGGGCTATGCTCCTATTATTTCTTTATATAAACATATTTATGTATACATATAATACACACAGACATATACACACAAAAAACCCCATATATATATATATACACACACACACACACACACACACACACACACATTGCTGCGGTTTCCTGGTAATTCTCTGGTTAATTTTTAAATAAAATTTATAATCAATGCATAAAGACAAACTTCATACTTTATAGAAATGATGTAAATTTATATGTGCTAAATAATTGACATTTTATGAGTTATCACATCAAATGAAAATATATAGAGTCTGCCAAAAAATGTATACACACTGGAGGAAAAGACAAATAGTATGATGTTTTTTCAACAGATGATGTTACCCTCATATGGGGATACATAGAGGATGTCGATTATTACAGAAAACCCACTACACCACTGGCCCTTAGAGAAGAAATTGAAAATGCACGTGTAGTGGCAATTTCAATGACCGAGTTTACCCAAGCAGCAGTTTGCTGTTCTAATAAATGTCTGCAAGGTCATGGCGGGCACATTGAGCACCTCTTGTAATTGTAGAGGCCAAAAGTAACTTTTATTAATTTCATAATGTCTCAATAAATTTAGTATTAAAATATTTATACAAGTTTTTCCTTTCCTAAAGTGTGTCAGACTTTTTTGGCAGACTCCGTAGACTTTGATTTCTGGTGGGCTTTGATTAAATTGCTTAAATTTTTTATAGTTTTTATTGTATTTTAAAGTTTTTCTCAATTAGTTTTTTGCAATTTTCAAATTTTACATAAATAATTTTATTGTTTTTATGGTTGGTATTTTTTGGTTATTACTATTAAAAATAAGAATAGTTTTGATATATTTTCTGATTATTCAATTAATTAATTTCTGTACATTTAATTCCTATTATTTTACTATATCCTCTCTTTTATTATAGTATTTTTCCACTGATTCTCTTGTGTTGTCAGATATAAAATCATGTTACCTGTAAAACTTTTAAAAATTTTTATTCCTCTAGCAGTCTTTAATATTATTACCTAACAGCTCAGTATTATATCAGTGGTAATGGTTATAGTAGCATCTTTATCTTGTTTCAGGCTTTGGAGAACTGGTATAATACTTCTTAAAGTATTTGTTTTCCAATATATTAATTAATGTTTTCTGCCCTCATACTTCATGACAAACAATGTCAGAATGAAATGGTCTTTTCCATATGGATGTATCTTCCTCTGAATTCTGTGGGTTCATTGCAGCTTTGCCTGACTCATGTGGCCTCAGATAGGTTTAACTCCAGGCTCTCAGTTAAGTGCAGGTCTGCTTTATATATCATCTCATGACAGAATCCAGGTTAAAGGAATATCCTCTATATGGAGCAAGTTATTTTCATCCCATAGGACAAGATCCCAAGAACAGAGACTATAAGAAGGCAGTGTCTTCTTGTTTTATTTTTATTTTTTTAGATCATGTCTCAACATATTGCCCAAAGTACCTCAGATTAATGGGCCCAGGAGATGCTCCAGTGTCAGCCTCCAAAAGTGGATGGGACTATAGCCATGTATTGTCATGCCTTGTGTTTTATGGAGGCTTTGCTTATAGTGGGCTAACTGTCAATTCTACTTATCCTACTGGTCAGTGCAAGTTGTATGGTCAAGTTCAAAATCATTGGAGCTGGAAACTGTACTTGGGCACAGCAAATCTTGTTCTAGAGAGAAAGAAATTTGAAACATAAATAGTAATATCTACCATAAGTATGCTAAACATACCTCTATTGATTCTTATTTTACTGTAAAATATTTTAATCATGAATGAAGACTAAATTTTGCTGAATGACTTCTTGGTATAGAGAAATATATATTTTAGAATTATTAATAAAATACAAACCATATGAAAATTATGTTAATGGTTTTCTGTTTCTGAATTCTTTTAATGGAGCCCATTTTATGAAACACTGTGTGCTTTTGGATTGTACTCATTAATATTATATGATTTGGCAGTCAGTCACTATTAATAAATGAGGTAGGGTTTGTTTTTTAAAATTTTGCAATAAAAAATTGGGCTGGACTTCAATAACATACCTTTTCCTATTCTTTGTAAGTAACATTTAGATAAATGCATTATTTAAAGATTTGCCGATATAGAGTGTAAATTGTATATGACATTTTGTCATTTGTTTGTTATTGGTGCTTTGTGTTTTATAGTGAAACTTGTCTTGACTAAAAGGCGACTTTTACATTTTAAATTTTATTTTCTAATTGCAGAGCCTTCCAGAGCAGCTGCTGTTCCCTTTTTCTTCATAGTAATTATTTTATTATTAAAAAGAAAGTTCCAAGAACATGGAAATCATGAGGCAGAAGAATATAGTGCGTATGGAAGAACAGAACACTGGAAGAAAGTATTCTTTTTTTTTCCCCCATTAAGTTTATTGGTACATTTTAGGTATAAAATACAGTTCCATTCATCATTAGGATCTTGTACCATTACATGAGTATCTTGGTTCTTACTTTTTTTCCCCCTTCCCTTGCCCTCCCTTCACCTCCTCCACCCTTCCCTATTTGCAAAGACTTTGTTTCCATTTTTTTCCTTTTCTCGTATTTTATTGGTACATTTTAGGTATACAATATAAAGACATTCATCATTGGGAATTTGCACCTTTACATAATCTATCTTGGTTCTTCTTCTTTTCCCCATTAACCTGCCCTCCCTTCAATCCTTGCACCCCTCCCTATTTACAAAGACTTTGTTTCCATTTTTTCATTTGCTCCTATTAATTCCATTCCCTTCTTTCCTTTCCCCTATCCCTCCCACTTTCCCTTTGCCCTTTTCTTACTATTTCACAGTATCTATTTGACCTTTTAGTCCTTATTTAAACTTTCAGTTTCTAACACCACAGAAACTACTCAATAATTACACGTGTGTCCTATTTATTTCGCTTAAGAGTATCGCCTCAATGTGCATTCATTTAGCTATAAATGTCTCTAGTTTCTTGTTATTTATGGCTGAATAGTACTCCATTTTATAGGAAAAAACCACATTTTCTCTATCTAGTCTCCAGTTGATGGGCATTTGGGCTGCTTCCAAGTTTTAGCTGTTACAAATTGTGCTGCTATGAACATGGGTGCACATATGTCACTGTGGTATGATTCTTTTAATTCTTTGGGGAAGCAGAGGAATAGCTGGGTCAAATGGGACTTCGAATCCTAGTTCTTTGAAGTATCTCCATACTGATTTCTACAGTGGTTGCAGTGTACACTCCCACCAGCAATGGAGCAGTGTTGCTCTTTTCCCAAGGCCCCACCAGCATTTGTTATTGGTTGATTTCATGATAGCAGCCATTCTTTCTGGAGTGAGGTGGAATCTCAGCATTGTTTTCATTTAGACCTCTTGAATGACCAGTGATGTTGAACATTTTTTCATATATTTATTTGCTATTTCTACTTC